TGGTATCATTCTAAGTTTTGATGGGACAACACTACTGTTTTTTCTTCTGAAAAGACACCATTTTTATTTTACGTATATATAAGCATATGTTCCTATTGAATCAGTTGGATCAGATGGTCCGTTACCGTCACATTGCTCAAATCAAGAATATTTCAGTGGAAACACTATCATGGTGTCCGCACCATTTCGTTGTTATTGCACGACAATGATATTACCTAGTGGTGCTGAATTAGGTTGGTTGTGGCTAGCCGCTAGCTAGTTCTGCTGTTGATTCTGGCGATCCAAATGGTTGTGTTATTTATTATTAGAGCTTATATTCGATGCATAGGGCTAATTGTTAGCCAGCTGTTTTTTTATATCCAGACTATCTAAACATGAGCTAATAGGTGAGCTTATATTTTAAACAAGGTTTCTACTATTTGTTAGCTAGCTTTTTTGTGACTATTTGACCAATCGTCAACTAATTTAGACTATTTTTTAGCCCTAATTAATAACTAGGCCTAGATCATCCAAATAGGCCCTTCTACTTGTACTTCCCTACATCGACAAAAATGCAATGCCATATCCTTTGATAACATCATCACTGCAGAATCATTAGGTTTGAAGATGGCAGAGATTGCCAAGGCACCAACACCTGGAGCCTGGGGCTAGTGCTAGACTACTGGCTTTCCATAGCATTCAGAACTATCACTACATCAGAATTTCAGTTTACAGCCACATGAGTTCATACAATTCAATGTGGGACGAATCCAAGATCTCTATGCTTCCGCCGATAGGCAGAAACAAACATTGAACCGTCTTGGCATAGCTGGGCATGCACAGTAAAAAACTCATGATCTCCCGATTTTATTAGTAAGAACTAGGAATGCTTGCCGTAGTAAAAATGGCAATGAAAAGGCACATTAGTTGTGTGTGTGGGTGGTGGTGGTGGTGTGTGTGGGTGGGGTGGGGGGGGGGGGAGAGAAAGTTGCAGGAGCTTGTGGTGGCAGTTTGTTGATGTGAAGCAAAACATGGTGCTGACCAATCAGTAGAGTACCAACCAACTACTAGATGTGGAGCTTTAGGCCCTATTCGATTCGCTGAAAAGCTCGCTCGTAAAACAAGCGGGCAGAGCCTTAGTGGTTCATTGACACATTTTCTTCGTTAACATAAGCAAAACTTCGGATGGCTTGCAATCAGTATTATATATGTTTACACTCATGTAGATGTAGGTGGCCTAGCAAACACCAAAATGACAAAAATTGAAGATTGCTACTAAAAATATGAATGGCAAAATTGAAGAGCAGCTGCCTAATTGATACCAAAGAATCTACTCCATTCCAATTCCAATTTTGACTATAGCCCTGCCTCGGCCGCTCGCCGTGGGGTGCTCTTCCGGCGGCTTCCTGACTGCCGGAAGCCATTGGACCGGATCGACTCATCATTGCTGGACCGAGTGCAGGAGCTGCTCTCCTCCATGTCAAGATTCGAGTCCTCTTCTTCCTTGGGCACCCTGTTCCTCTTGTTGCAACCAGCTCCTGCGGAAGCATGCTCTATTCTTGAACCCTTCAGTTTGGCACCATCCCCTGCTCCCACCACATAGTCCTCATCGCCATCATCGGCGGCCGCCTCCAGTTTTTTCATCTCTGCTTCAATGATCTTCTCAGCGGCGACACGCTTCTGGGGCCGTCCCCTCCTCTTCCTTGCAGGCACGACGACCTCCTCGCCACTGCTCCCCTTGTCCTCGTGGGTCCTGCCATTGGTGAGCTGCTTCCTCCCTCTGCCTCTCCCCCTACCCATTGATGATTCAATTCAACAGAAGAAGGTGCAGGCAACTAAGGAAGCTACGAGATGCCTATCTAGATGCTGCCTATTCTGTTTGTCTTGTTGCTTCCTTTTGGGAGCTCACAAAAATATCTCACTTGTGACTGAGAAACTTGCTCTAGGACAGTGCAGCCAAGACAATCTAGAAAGCTGCAATAGAAATATCAAGAACCTATTGTAAAACCCAAATTGGAACATGATTGAATATTCAAGAATGGATGACAGACTAAACTCCTCAGAGTCGGAGTTTGATAGATCCGCATCAATAATCTCAAGAAACATATATCCAGATATAAATCCCTAATGTAAGATTGGAATGCGCCAATATAATCCACAAATGTTATCAACAGAGTAGAGCAGAAACATTTAAATGATTCCATAATCAATAGATAGAGGAGATAGAAAGAAGCTGACCTTGCATCAAACTAGTATGTCCTTGAAGAAACATCCACCTGCAAACTCATTTCCCCAAGCTCAGCAGTCAAAAGATGAGATTTTTCTCTCTTTTCGCTAGCACCGAAGGGGGAAAACACTGCAGATTGGCACTGATCTTGGATCGAGATTGAGACACCAGGAGGAGAGGGAGCGAGACCCACCACAGATCAAGAAGAAGCCATGGGCCAAGGACCCACCACAGATCAAGAAGCAGCCATGGGCCAAGGTTGGTTCTGTTTGGGGAAAGCTGGAAGATTCTTGAATGAGGCTAGCAGTGATGATGCTGTGTGGCCTGTGGGCGCCGGCTGGACTCCTCCTCGGTGCTTGAGCTCCAACAGTAGCTGTGAGCTCCCTGCGGCTGTGGGACAGCAGCAGCAGGACACTACTGTACACACCACGCGATGAGAGAGAGAGAGAGGGAGAGAGATGGATGGGTGGGGGCGGGCCTGGGCCTGTGCCTGTGCCTGTGCAGCTGTGCTTGCTTGCTGGAGTTGCTTTTCCGTGCAGCTGCTGTCGTTCGGTTGCTTAAGTTTGCGCTTTGTTTACCGACCGTTGAAAACGAGTGAGCTGGGTTCCACTGCCACTGGGCGCTGCCCCGGCATAAATTACTGGGGCATAATGACAAGCTTTACTTCTACCATTTTCTCGTGCCCTCGGGGGAATCAAAAGGCTAGAGCAAGGATCCCAAGACTGACAGCCAGGGAACAACAAAACCAGGGGCCAGTAATCAACTGCTGCAGCCGTCAAGATCCATCGGTGTAGTACTGTAGTTCCTCTGTCCCGAATCCTTAGACGGCATGATAGGTGGAAATCTATGGATTGTGCGGTCTGATAGATCGAATATAGTATTTCCTCCCTTCTAAATTACAAGACGGTTTTGATTTTTTCTACATAATCTAGAAAAGGCAAGACATTTTATAGTACACGTATTCACTAATATGTGCAAGAATAACAAGATATTGTGAGATAGCAAAACGAAGGTAATATCCAAATTCAATTAGCCCAAGGTAGCATTTCCAAGAGAGGGCCCTATTCAGACGATATCGGCAGTCAAAGTGATGTAACTATTAGCTTGACTCTTAAGTGTACCAAAATTAAAATAAACCCTTTAAGTTTCGGACTTGGAGGTATTAGGGTCTGGAATATTAGTACCCAGGGAAACTTTCAGACAGGTTTGCTTTGCATGTGGTCCTGTACAGTACCCAAACCAAACATTTTATGTCAGCGAGTGCATTCATAGCAAGAGTAAAGAATCCGCATTATTTTGAAAAAGCAAACCATCTGCAGCAACGATATCATTGGCTCCGTCCGCTTGTCTTAAAAATGGTCTTAAAAATGGCTTGTTCGACTTCTTTTTTCAGCCGGAACAGTGTTTTTCTCTTACTACAATTCAGTCGGAACAGTGTTTTTCAGCCTGTTTCAGTCAAATTTCAGACAAGCGAACGGGGACAAGTTCTGGCGTTTTCCATTATCTTGGATTATTTCGATGCTTCATTAATCTGCACTACCTTTTGTTTCCCCTGAAATGAATCATGGTGACTCCGAGATCGAGTGGGCCTGGCAGCTTTAGTTAACTACCCAAAAATCAGTTGGCGTGAGGAGGCGGCATGAGCAGCAGGCCATAGTTTGGGCCCGGGTACGGGCGAGCCCAGCGCACATCTGGAGAAGACCAGGTCGGCCATCTCTGACAGCCTTTCCAAATCTCACACTCTATCTGTTTGTATACGATCGTGGATTATAAGCTGGAATAGTATTTTTCTCTCACACCAAATCAGTCAGCAATAAATATCCATGATCGTTTACGACGAAACGAACAGGCTGTATATCATCATTTGGATAGTCATTTACATGAAAATCGTTTTCTATATCTTTTTACTCTTCAACAGTTTTTTTATATCTAGGCCCCGTTCGCGTGCCCTTAAACCCGGTTTGATCCGCTTCTTTTTTCATCCGGAACAGTGTTTTCCTCACAAATTCCTCCAGAATTCCTCCAAACCATCAAAATTCTTCCAGAACCATACCATCCGAACGGAGCCCTAATGTGCACTCTAGAGAGTCATTCTCGTCTTCTATTTTTTGCTAGCGAAAAATCCAGAATAGAAGATAACGCTATGTTTGGATGATCATTTAGAAAAACTATTAAAGGATAATTTTTCACCAAAATCTATATTCCTAGCATTTAGGATGATACAGAGACAGATGCTCTTAGTTAACTTAGTTAAGTGAATCAACCTCTTTAGAAATCCTAGTATTTGTGGTCAGCGAACACACTTGTGCCCACACGTCACAACTGGCTGTGCCTGTACATGTACCAACACCAGGAAGTAAAATTAATTTTACAGGAAGCCACCATGATACAACAGACTACAAGTCTGACTACGAGAATGCTGCTCCTCGTATACCCCGACAGATTTTATCACGTAGTGATTAGGTCGCGCCAGAGCTTCTATAGACCAGTAAACCGCCAAAATTCCTTCTCCGTACGGGATACTAGATGGCTTTGCACTGTAGAACATCTCCGAAATCTAGGTGCATGTCCGGGTGTTTCGCTTCACAACAATTCCTGATCGAACTGCTTCACTATTCTTGCAACGACATGATAGATAGCGCATAACTTACAACTAAGATTCTTACACACTTGCATCACTGAAAAAAATAGCATGCGATGCTCGACACATTATAGCACAAAGATGAACCCCTATACAGGAGAAAAGACTATAACCACCAAAACATTTTGTTATGTCCTTGCTTGCATCCTGGGTTCACGACGAGCAGGACAGCATGCAGACTCCAGGTCTGTATGCCCAGGCTGGTGGCAACCGCGCATACTTCTCCATTCCTGGCTGCTCATCATAAGGATTCTGCATTACTTTAAGCAGCCGGCGAACCTCCTCATAATCACTTTGCTCAGCTGTGTCGATAGCAGACTGGCACAGATAGTTGCGGAGAATATACTTTGGATTAACAGAGTTCATCGCGGCTTTTCTTTCTTCATCAGGAATGCCACTCTCCACCAGCTTTCACACAGAATGAATAACACTGTTAGACTGGAGGTTAAGATATTAAATGTAGCAATATAAAAGTCTGGTAACAATGGTAGAGCATAATAAACCTTGATGGACCTTGGACAGTGCAGATGACAATTCACAATGTATAGAAATCAGGAAATATGACTATTAGATGAATTTTAGAGCATAGTCACATAAATTCAGAGGGAATGCAGGTAAATTTTCAAAGCACAAGGGCAGCAAGCCTGCAACAAACAGTGGGAATTTCTGCCCAAACCACAACATGTCACTCAGTTTCCAAATGATCATTCCAACTTCACAAAAAATGGCAAAGATTTTTTTTTTTTAAAAAAAAGAACCAAACGACAACAGAAATACCAACAGTAGCCAAAACAGTGCGCTATCACAACATCAAACCATCCCTTTTATGATAGAAGTGCATATGGAGGAAACAATTACAGAATAGGTGACCCACCTCTTCAATGTAAGTCTGTACCCAACTGATCCATGCTTCCTTCCTTTCTTTCCCAATATCTAGGAGAGCAGCCTTCAGTGGAACAAGCAGCTCATTCTCCGGAATACCAGGATCCGCTTTGACATTCGAAAGAAGACGGAAAAAGTTGGTATAGTCAACCTTATCAACTGCCAAGTTGTTAAGCAGCTTACTAATTAGCTGCTTATTATACTTGGTTAAGCCCAGCTTTTTGGTCATGATAGATTGATACTCATCCATGAACTTTGTCCCATACCTGCAACAAACAAAAAATCAAAATGTTCACACAAATAAGTTATTGTCGTCTACTGCCAATAATTGTTCAGAATGGAGGAAGAGCTCACCTCTCCATCACATAATTTGCCTCGTCTTTGCTGATAAGCTCAGCAGATGACAGTGGTCCAGCAAACTGAGCAATATTCCACAAGCCAACACCAGGTTGATTTGCAAAACAATACCTCTTCCCAGGAAGATCAGTGGTATTTGGAGTATAGTTAGGATCAAAGGCATCGAGAAAGCCAAATGGTCCATAATCAATAGTTAGGCCCAGCACACTCATGTTGTCAGTGTTAAGTACACCATGGGTAAAGCCAACACCTTGCCATCTAGCTATCAAGTAAGCAGTCCTCTCTGCAACCTCAACTGCCCAGGCTGTTACAAATGGATTGCAGGTGAGGAAAGGTTAGTTCTCCAAGGATTTTGAAAGCAAAATAAAATGTGGTATAAAGATATTTGCCTGCATATTTGTTTGATGTGAGATCTATTGTTGGAGAATCTCCTATAGCTGCCTCGAATGACAAACCTTCACTCTTTTTCATATTTTCAAGATGCGGAAAGTGTTGAAGTATCACGTAGTCTGCCAAACGACGAACAATTTCAATGTCCTCTTTGCCCCTTGAAGCATGTATCTGATACGAACCAAAACGTAGAAAAGACGGTGCAACACGACAAACGATTGCACCTGGTTCTTCCTTGGCATTGCCACTGCATATATAAGACAAATGATTAACACTAGAAGCATATCAATAGGTACAGTGTATTTACTGAAAACCTTCAGAAACATGATCCTTAAAATAAAATCTATTTTAACTGCTGCCAGTCAGTGTTATAAATTGCAGGTAGTAGTGTTATAGATTGCAGGTAGTGGTAATGTAACAAAGGTTCTCTAAGCATAGCATACCCTGGTGACATAGTAAGAGCAAAACTCATCCATGTTTGCAGTATTTTTAAAAAAAAAAGAAAAGCCTTAACAGGAAAGTGGTCCTATACAGCATACACAGGTGATATGTGAGTACATAAGACTTGACGTCATTCGCAGAAATAAATAACATGAAATAACCCAATCCACACTCTACAATCTGCAGCTTGTGTTCAAGAATAATTTAGGGCAGTTTCATGCTTTATAATCATGTCTAGGTCAATAAGAATAACAAAAAAAAAGGCACATTAAATGATTAAAACAAAAGCAAAAGACCAACATACTACATTGCCACCTGTGCACAAATCAAATAATATAAAAGGACTTATGAAGCAAGCTGTCATTCAGTGAAATAAAACCACTATGCCTGAAGAACAAATAAACAAATAAGTTCTTAACAGTGATGTTCCACCAACCGCTATTACTTTGAGTATATATCTGGCTCAAGCAGCCTTGATTCAAATATTTTGTATGCTACAGATAACACTGCCATCATTACCATGCTCAGCTTATAAAAAGCTAGATCATATACAGCCTTTTTCTACCTTTCCCCTCTTTTGTTGAAAATTTATCTTATAGAAGTGGAACACGGCGATGAAACATAACATGGCTTAACAGTGTACATTGGAAAATTAAGATATCATGACATACTCATAGAACATATCTCGGACAACTGATTTTCCAGTTTCAACTAGACAAAGAGCACGAGTTGTAGGAATGCCTAGACCGTGCATGGCTTCGCTGCATAAGAATTCACGGATACTGCTGCGTAGGACAGCAAGACCATCAGCAAATCTGCTGTATGGAGTCTTTCCACAACCTTTGAGCTGCAACTCCCACCTCTCACCTCGAGAGTTGACAACCTCTCCAAGAGTTATCGCTCTACCATCCCCCAACTGACCAGCCCATACACCAAACTGATGTCCTCCATAGCACTGGGCGTAGGGCAAACTGCAGGTTGTTATCCATCAGAATGTTGATTATTTGGCTGTCTAGAACCAAATAGTAAGGATATTAAGTGATGGTACAACAAACCTTCCCACTAGTGGAGTTGCTCCTGAGAAAAACTGAGGAAAATCAGGTCTTTCAAACCTGAAAATACGCAAGATAGCACATAAACAATTATGAATTTCTGTTCAACAATATCAGCAAGGATACCAAAAAAAACTGAGAACTGGATGAGTAGGCAAGGTAGGGGAAAAACACAATTCTATGCAGAAAGAAAATGATAACTGGAGGGGGGGCACAAGTTAGAACTCAACCTATGCAATAAGGACAAATTTCTAACTTCAGTAGCTCCTGACTTGTTCAAGTCCATATATTAATCGCAAAGAGATCAAACCAACGACGTGAGTAGCAAACAAGAGGAAATCAGAGGATAGGTCATCTCGATAACAAGAGGAAGAAACCTTTAATCTATGTTCTGTTTCTTCATTTTTCGAAATACAGTGCTTTAACTGACAAGTGGGAAACCACCCATGGGACCAAGTGGAAGACCAGATGATGTGTACAAGTTCCAAGAGTCTTAATGGTGAGTGCAAGAAAGAAAATATAGAAATTGAAGAAACAGAACAGAGAAAAAAGGAAGGCTTCATCGTCAGGTTGATCTCACCCGCGGCAACAGGTGTGAGAAAATTCAGCAAAGATATTCTAATGTTGTTATCCAAATATTTTGTGAACTTGCAACAGATAAGTTGCTAAGTGTGACCAGCTGCCGCTTAGCACCTAGATCCCCAAGGCAGCCAAATGTCCTCAAGGAGGCAAGGACAGGACTATTGTATGTAACAATTCTAAATTTCCTTTTTCATGTAATGGCATGTTAGAAGTAGTTGTTTGGATTACCTTGGAGCGCGTAGGCACTATGTTGGACTACCTAGGCACATCGATTACCCCATAATCAAGGCAGCAGGACACCACTTATTGCCCTGATGCCACTAAGGGCTAAGTGCCATCTTTCAAACATGCTCATCACAGACCTTAAGAGTAATAAGTCAGCTAACGCTTATTTTCTCGAATGAAATCTGTTGGTTGGAATATTTTGTTAAAATAAAAACAAAGATCATGGAGATGTGACTAGCTGTTAGACTACCATGTGGGCCTATTGCCATATGGAACGGCCATGTCATAAAAAGTTTCAGCATTATAGCAGCTCTTTTAGTGACTGAAGTGGCCAAGGACAAAACATGTCTGCCAAAATAAGACAATGAACCATTTCGTATGCTAAAAGGTCTAAGTGTCTTGCCACACTTTTTGTTTCTCAAAAAATGGTTATTCCGTAACACACCTGCTGTTGTCAACTCCTTAGTTATGATTGATGCGCTTCCAACTTCCGATGAATTCAAAGTATCTTAGATATTTTTGCAATTTCTTTTCATACCCATACATCTCACCTATTCATTAGTATGAACTCAACTGGTTAGCTTTTCAACAAAGAGACGTGCTTAGCTTTATTGCTCTCACAAAGGCCAAAGTATAAGACTACAGTTTATAAACAAAAATGTGAGCACAATTTAACAAAATCCACATCCAAATAGTACCACTATTTCATTCTTGGATGGGAGGTTTTTGAAGCTGGGAAGAGCATGCAGCCACCAATCAGTACTCACTCGAGGATCAGTGGCTACATGTGATATCTGAAGAGTTAAAATGTCAGACAATTTGGTGTGTAAAATTAGCCAGGACTCTACCGCAGTGGCACACAGGAAGGACACAACTGAAGAAGTTCGCTGCAAAGGATACAATTGGGGGGTAAATTCAAGTGGCTTTAGTAGTGTCAACACTAAGCAGCTTTGTTTCAGTGCATCCCAGAAACGTGTGATAAAGATGTCCCTGCTTCTAAAATCGCCATTCCTTAGATTTATTGCAACTTGGCGAAGGATGCCCGCTTGTAGAAAAGCAGCTAGAAATGGGAATCGTAACAATCAAGGATTTCAGGCCTCACTCTTTGTGATCCAGATCGAGTAGATCGGCCACGGAGTCAGACCACGCCAACAGCTTGGGGTTATCCACTTTGACCGAGGGAGACACCTTGGAGTAACAGGCGTGCAGGACCTGCAACAGCACGGCAGGCAGGTGAGCTAGCTGCTAGCCAAACAAAACACGAGGAAGGAAGGAGGCAGCTAATCGAGCGCGCTTGAATGAAGCCAGCAGCGAGCGGAAGGGAAGGGAAGAGGAGGAGGAGGCAGGCCGGACCTCCCGCGGGATGGCGTCGGATCGCGGGTCGCCGGGCAGCTCGCGGACGAAGGAATGGTCCCAGGGAAGCTCCTCCAGGGCGAGCCGCCGCGGGGCGGCGGCGCCCTCTCCTCCCACGCCGACGGGGGGCGCCTCCGCGGCGGCGTGTGGCCTGGGGGCGGCGGCGGAGGCTGAGGCCATGCCGCGGGGCAGCAGGCGGCGGCGCGCGCCTCGGTGAAGAAGCGGCGGCGGGAGGCGGAGGGCGCGAGGGGCCGGGGACAGGGACGCGGAGGGGAGAGGGGAGAGGGGAGAGGAGCGGGACGGGAGCAGCCTGTGCGGCCTGGTGCTGGTGAGGAGGCGGGCGGTGGGGAACCGGGGCGGCATGGCGACGCGTGCCACGGCGTATTTGGCTTGCGAGGCGGAGGGCGGGTGTGCCCCGTGCTGCATCTGCTGCGTGCGTGCTGTGTGGTAAGCGGTGCGGGCCGGCTGGATCCATCTCGGCCACGGTGGGTCTTGGGTCGGCTCGGCGAAATCTGTGGCCTGGGCCTGGACTGGACTTGGAGGGTCACATGTGGGCGTGAGGAGACGAACGTGGCCAGACGTGAGGATATATCCGTACGTGTGTCGTGCCGCTCGACGTGTCAGCCTGTTCAGACCTCGTCAGTTAATTAGGGCCCAAGGCGTCGCGGCTTGGATGGGCTGGCGTGGGTGCTGCATTGCGTTCAGGTGCAGCAGATGTAGCCCATCCTTGCTAAAAAAAAAAAACAAGAAGATGTAGCCCATCCTGCTGCCATTTGCCGTCCGTCCATGCGCATCCGGAAAATCCATCATCGCATCGAGGCAGACAAATGCATGGGCCAAATCTAACATACTTTGCCCGCCCTTAAATTTTTTGGTTCTACAGAAGATGCATGATAAAGAGCTGGCATTAAGTCATGCAACGCGCTCAGGCTTTGTATTATAAGAGGAAAGACTCTCGCCAGTATACGTTGAACGTATGGCGCTTGCTTACAAGACAGCTACTAAAAAAGGTTACCTCTTCAAACTGTTGAATGCCTTATTCCATATGATAGACTGTCTATCTTTCCCAAGCGTATACTTTTGTTCTATAAGCAAATAAAGCGTACTTTTGCGGATCAAGCAATCTTCTACCTCGGTAGGTAGCGAAAAATCAAATCAATACCGGAGTATTGCTCTAGCTGCTGCTGAATTAACCTGGATTCAATCCTTGGAATGAACAATGAGTGCGAGTTGCGCACACTGCTCTCAGTGTTACACCGTTAATCATCTACTAAAATATGTTATGAGCATCATATTTGTGTGTTAATGCATGTGGTGAAATGAGTAGATGAGGTGTCGTAACGTAGAAGGATCAATAGAATGTTAATCGGAAAGTTATTCCATGATTCACGTAATTATCAAATAGGGTTGTAAACCAATTTTTATTGAACAAAAATAATATAGAACATATATGCAACACTTAAATAAAGTTGGAAGTACAAACTTTGTAGATGGAAATGAAATACTTGGTGTTGATAAATAATGTTGTTAGCTTATATTTCTAAGGGTTTGGAAATGCAACTAGGAATAGAAAGTCATTCAACACTTAGAAGATTTCATAAACTTTTGGTGAGCTAGACATTGCGATGTTTGGTAATTTTGTAAGACAATCTGGTTAAAAAGTAGGGTAGTGTTACGGGTTGTTTTAGTTACCTAATGTACCCTCTAGGTGATGGCATAGGTGGTTTTGGAATGGGATCAACGGTTTAGTTTTTGTGAACACTTTAAAAAGCGTGCACGACACGTCTTCGGTCGCTTCCCTCGCGTGGGCACGATCACCGCGTTCCCAAGCTACGACGTCGCCGCGTTGGACGCCCGTGCGCGCGCACTGGCCGTGCTCGGTTGGCCGCCGTGGCCGGTCGGGCGGCCCGCGCAGTGCCGCCACTACATAAGTCCCCTGCACTGACCGCCGTGCTGCCCCGTTGCTGTGTTGTTGCCCGCTGCGGCCGCTCTGCCTCGCTGCCGCTCATCGTGTCGCGCTGCGGGCCACCTCATCGCTGCTTGTTGCGTCGCTGCCGCGAGTTGCCGGCGTGCATGTGGGGTGCCCCCGTTGCGCTCGCGTCGTCGCCTCGCCTTAATGGCGATGCGGCCACGCGGGCCATGCCACGCCTACCCGTCTCGCACGCGCATGTGGCCGGTTGTGGAGGGCGCACTCGTCGTTTGCGCCTTGGATGGAAGCACTCAGTTGTGACATACACGTCCCGCCAGGGCGCACAGCCACGCAACTACCGCCGCCGTATTTTCCACAGCTGCACCTCTGCTCGTCGTGGTCACGTCGCGGCCAACAAGGGCCCGAGCACGGGCACCAGCCATCAATTCTTCACGCTCGTGGGTGCGCTCGGTCGCCAGCGTCTCAACCACCACCTCACTGCTTTGATTTGCATCGCGACGAGCCCCAATTTGGGAGCTTTCTCTCCACCGCACCATTTTAGGCCGCGGCCGGGGCAGCCTCCAGCTCACCTTTCCAGGCCAATCTAGCTACGCCTCTAGTTTAGCCTCCATCCCCACTTCACCCTACACCCCCACATACACCTCTCCGCCTCGCCGTAGCCACTGACGTGGCCACGCCGTCTCAGAGCGCCGTCGCATCCCACCACCCGCACGTGGCCAGCCCTGTTTGGGGAACCTCCGGCCAAACCACCACCGCAGCCGCAACCAGGGTAAGATAGTGATGCTATAGCGCTAGCTAGTTCACCCCACAGTGGCTTAGGGTGGTCGGCATGGCCGCACCACTGTCGCACATCGCCGCGCGACATGGTCACCACTTCCACGAGCTCCGCCGCTCCTGTAACCTAGGCTAGTGTAGGCGCTAGGGTTGTAGACAGGGGTCGGCCCGTTAGTAGAGCCAGCGCGGGTCCTAGCTGGCCAACGTGGCCGTCCAATTCCATTGTCGCCGCGCCGGTGCGTGCGGGGGTGGCCGAAGGACCAGGCCGTTGTAAAGGAGAGAAAGGGGAAGGGCTTATTTGCATAGGAGCAGTGTATAGGAATAGTGTTGCGGACCTCGGGTTGAATTACCGGTTGCTCAAGGGTGTTTTTGCAAAGATGCCGATGCACGCGGGCTTCCTTGTCACAGGCCGATTTCGCGCGCGGGCCGCGCCCCGCATGGGGCCAGAATTGGTTTATCTTTTTCGTAGAGAAATAGCAATAGTTTTTTATTTTAGTTCTAAGCTGAACTTTGGAAATTAATATCAATTCACTTGGGTGTCCAAAATTTGTGAGATAAATTTTGGTAGGCTCCTAAAAATATTGTCTATCGGATGGTATGATTAGATTATGCAGGTCTAGATTGATGCTGAGGCCTATTAAATCAATTACGAGTGTTTAGTATTATTTAGATTGGTATTTATAGAAATTTTTGTGGCAAATGGGTAATAGTTTTGTCCATGAAATTTTTACAGTAAGTTCATTGTATTATTATGTGCTCACTATAATTTTTGTTGCCTTAGAATAGGTTGATAAATAGAGTAGCTAAGTACTCCTTGTTTTAGTATATATGAAATCGTAAATAAAGTAAGAAATGCATTTTTGGTTGCTAAGATAATACTCGAATGTTTCATACCTGTTTAGTGGAAATGATGGGTAGCTTAGTATCTTAGTCATTAGAGTTAGCTTAGTAGCTTGGTAGATGTATTCTTATTTTAAGAGTTGCTGTTGCTGAAATACTAAGTGTTGTATCATCATCGCATGCATATAGAGAACGAGTTGATGAAGATCACAACCATCGGAGATCACGAGTTCGAATAGGTGATTGAAGAGTACGAGGAGAAGATCCTCGTGCAGGAGGAGGTCCCGAGCCTCCACTAGCTGACTAAGGTAACACCATGCCTTTCCAAGGCAAGCCCCGATACATAACCCTTATTTTAAATAATCACTTGAAATGTATATATGATGTGCAATTACGTTATAGGATTTATATTGAAACTACATGCATAGATATACCTACCTATGAGTCCTACTAGCTTAGGTCGAGTAGCTGCTATGCTTACGTTTTTTGGTAGTATGAGTAACCTGTCATTACTCATAATATGTGATTATTATTATCACTCTCATAATAAAATGGTGAAAAGAAATGGAGATCGGGCAGAGATATGGTACGGGTATTGGTGGGTGTAAGAGGTTGTGTTCTGTGGCCAACGGGGCATAGCTTGGTTACACTGTTTTCCCTGTCCGTGTCGGTTAAGGACTGGCCGTTGCATTGGATTCTAGTCAGGTCACAGACTTATTATCCTAAGCACATACTTGTTTATGGGAGCAGGGAAGGTTCGTTGCTCTCTTGTCGGAGGTTCCGGCTCTTTCCGGACCGACTGATTAGAGGCGATGATGGTTGAGGTCTAAGCACCACACTGAGTCCGGGACTAAAGTGTGGGGGCTTGGAGTCCAAGTTTGGACGGGGCCTAGACCCCTTGACAAGAGAGTAATGGGTTGGTTCTACTTGTGCCTGGAGTACAAGCAGGGCATGTGTTTTAGGGTACCCAGCTGGGTACATTGATTCGTGAATCACCGGATAATCCGGTACGACTTGTCTACGATCTGCACCGTAGTAAGAACTGGAAGATGAAAGATGATGAAATGGATCTGTTTGCTCAACTGTTGCTTGAAAATAGAACATGTGCTTACCTAGAATGGTTAGATAATGAATTAATCAGGACTGCTAATAAGAAACATACATAAGGCTTCACTACTACTATTGCTTTCCGCAAAAAGGAAATCCAACAGACCATAAAAGCTTATCATATCCTTTGCAGTTAGAAAATTATTCCCACTAGTAAGCTAAGTCTTGCAAGTACATTGTGTACTCAGGGTTTATTTACCCCTGTTGCAGGTGCAGCTTGAAGAGTAGCTGTTGTGTGGAGGATTCTTCTGGTGGGCACAGATGAATCCTTGTATTCTATCGTTAGATGTTTATTATAATTCCGCTGATTAAATTCCGCACTCTAAACTTAGTATTGTAATAATGTATTTCTAAGAACTCTAGTTGTATGAAATGTACTAAGCATTGTAAACTCGTTCTCATTATTAGATCCTGAAGGAAAAACGTGGATTATTCGAGTTTTCCCTTGGGGTGTGCTCGACGGAATCCGTCCAATGTAGCTTGCTTTCGGGGTGCTTAGTGTCTGGTGGAAGATGAACGTCTCCGAAAGCATGCTATTTCGGACAGTTCTGCCACAACTGCGTGCCTGCTTCAGACCTCATTTGCCAAGGCAGAGAATCAGTGAGACCAAGGGCTGTTTGGTTTTGGGCCGGACCAGGGGCAGAGCGAGGATTTAAACATAGAGGGATCGTTCAAGCCGACAACAATCGTACATGATGAAAAATATATGAAGAGAGTGAACATAATAACCAAATAAGTGTTTATTATATGATACAAAGTAAGCTAAAAATTAAAA